CTAGAGTATTCTCAAGAAAATCTGCCCAAGAAAGTTCACAAAAATTATGAGTGCAAATTTTATTTTTTGAATATTGAAAAAGTAGTTTAATGCATCCTACTGGCTCATTTGGACACACAGGCTGCTGGCAGCTGGGGACTCCTGCTTCTCCATGGGGACTGGCTTTTCTCCTTGAGGTGCCTGCTTCTTTCATTAAGCAGTAGAAGTGTGCTCCTGGGGGACAGGATGCTGCACTGTCCCCTGCCCACCCACTGGCCTTCACAGGTGCCTGCACTGGCCCATGGCTGCCCACAGGCATTGCTGGTATCAGCAGGTTGGGAAGCCCACTCAGCAGGTCTGGAAGGGGCCTTTCCCAGGGAAGACTCGAGCAACACACACCTATGTCTATGGGTGATGTTGGAATTCATCTCCCTGAATTCTTCCCTTACGTAGATAGGCAACATGGTCAGCTGCACATAGGTCAGAGGTCACTGTGCTTGTCACACTCATCTGTGGGCTCTCTTCCCTGTGGGCCAAGACATCAGTGGAAATGGTGCCAGTGAACAGGCTGAAGAACTCCCCAGACACAGCCCCTTGGTATGGGCAGAGTGGAAGGAAGCACAAGGAATATTGAAGGGTTTAGAGGATGATTGAAAAGACCCGCGGGGGGCTCCTCAGCTTACAAGGGGGTTGTGTCCTGATAACCCTCATAAATAAAAAGTACCACACATCGAACCTGCATTCAACACCCAAATAACCAATAGTCTTCTTTCTCTCTGTAAATTCTCCAAATCTGGACGTTTAATGTAATTGGAATTATATGCAACATGGTGTTTTGTGCCCAGCTTCTTTGGCTAGGCGTGGTTTTCTCAAAGTTCATCTACAATGTAGCACCTGTCAGAACTCCATAGAATATGTTGTCATAGAATATTCCAGTTTGGGGATATACCACTTTTATAGAGCCTTTACCACTTGAAGGGTGTTTGGACTGTTCCTGCTCTTTGATTACTAGGAGCGATACTGTTACAAAGAGCTAAATGATCCCAACCAGTTGTTAATTTAGTCTCACGGGAGCTTCCCAAGTCTTCTATCCAGGCTGCACCTGAAGCTAGAGAAGGAGGCAGGGAGGGGTGGGGATGTGGCTCCGTGCTAGAGTGCTTGTCTAGCATACGAGAGGCCCTGGGTTCAATCCCAAGCAAGGCAACAAAAGGAAAAAGAAAAATTCTTGAGAACATGGGAGGGAGAGTGAGACAGAAAAAAAACAAGGTTGAGTCAGATGAGCTAAAGAGAAATCCCTTAGTAAATGCTACCAGGCGGCATGATGCAGATACGTGGCAGACTCAGGGAGGTTCACTGCCGAAAAATTTAAGCGCAATACCCCACAGGCTTAGTGACTCTCTGAGCCCCAGAGCTGAGATTATACTCTTTTCTTTTAGTGAGTATTTCATGGTCAATTTGTTATCAGTAGGGGAATGAGACCCCAGTCTAGGAGCTTTGGTGACAATACAGAGCCTGGCTGCTTCCAGTAAAAACGCAGAGAACAAAGAAGGAATTTTAACCACTTGTGAAAATAAGCCCAGCTGGTTTCAGGAATCCCAAGACTGTGACTTGCAAGTAAACTCTCAGGCCAGTGAGGGTACCAGTCAAGAGGGAAAAAGGCCAGAGAGGTCCTCAAGCCAGGGGCCAAAGAGGAGCATCACTATGATAGAGTTTGAAAGTGGTAAGAAGATGGGCTTGCGGCTAAATTGGGAGTCATGTATTTTTAAATCTCTTAATTGGCAAGTGAATACTTGAGGTAAAATTTAATTTCCAGTAGAGACTTCTGTTTGAGATACAGCAAAGGCAAGATCAAAGCAACAATATTATGATCCTCAATAAATTTAAACTCTCCAGACCCCAGGAACTTAAGTGAAAAGCCTGGCCCTAATAACCCACTTCCTCCAGCCACATCCTCCATGTCTGCAGTCACCATGTAGTTAATCTCCATCCACAGATTAGTGTGCTGATTAGGTTCAGACTCTCTTAATACAATCATCTCACTACTAAACTTTCTTGCATTGCCTTACCTGTGAGCTTTTGCGGGTTGCCTCACAACTAAACCCTAATGGGACTTGCGATGGTTTAAGATAGAGGCTCTGTCCAGTGTGAGGAGGGCCTCAGCTTATGTGGAGCCCAATACAAAACACAGGTTCAGCCACGCCACCCCTGCCCATGCTCCAGCCTCCTCTTGTGCAGATGGAGGAGGTGATGCCGCCTAGCTAAAACACCGCCATTCAGGGCGGGTCCTCTTAGCTCCCAGTCTCTTCCTGGAACACTGACCATCCTATCTTGTATGAATGATGTTTTTGCATTTTTCCCATCTATCCTCTGTTTCCCAGCATTCTAAAGATAACATCTGTCTTGGTGATGGGAAACTTGGGCCTGGGATAAAGACTTAGGCAGAGGTAATTTAGCTTGGGAGGTGGGCCAGGCCAGAGGGAACGTCTCTGCTGTGGGCAGTGGGGGCTTGCCACCCGCAGGGTCTCCGATCATCACAGGAGGCAGGACAAGAGACCGGATCCTTGTGAGGCTGCTCCACCCTCCTACGTGGGGAAGGGTCACACGTGGGGCATTCTCACTCACACACCTGAGCTCTGCAGTAAGCAGGAGCTGAGGGTATTCCCCCGCCTGTGAAGGAGGAATAATCCTAGCAGACACCAGACATAAGATGAGGATCATGTGAGTATCAAGGTACCCAACCTGCCCCTAAAGCTGGAACTGAAACCAGAAGTGTGCTGAAGGGGTGCAAGGGTCCCCGGAGTGTGAGTCAGAGTGTGAGCATAGCTCCTGTGGTTTGGTGGGGTGCTTTTCTCCCACAAAAGACCACAGAGCTGGGCTTCCCTGACTCTGGGGTGCCATGCCCATCCCTGGAGTGGGCACCATGATGATGGAATAAAGAGCTTTGATTCTCTTGGCCTGGGTCACTTGCTGATCTCTGGAGGACATGCAAGGCATTGTTTCCATGGACAAGGTGAGTGGATGTTGGGGGTCAATGACATAGAAATCCACTGTTATCCACAGATACTCAGAACGAGTGCCTTGATGTGAGTTTAGATAACAAGTTGAGGAGTGTGGCCATTTGGGGTCTAAATTGTGCCTTCCTGTGTACACCCACAACTCTGCTCATCTCTCACTGCCCGGGGCACTCCAGCAAGCAGCGTGACTCAGCCCCTGTATGTGAAGACAGGGATACAAAGTTCACATGGGGAGAGCAAGTCGTAGAGCCAGCACAGTGTGGCAAGCTGTGTGTTGGGTACGTGGTGTCCACCGTCCCTCCCTTGCCTTCTCTCTTGGTGATATCTTGGATCATCTGGAAAAGGGAAGCCAAATGATCCATTGCTGGGTCTGATGCTTGCACCTGCCCCCTGGGCACCCACACACAGATGACAAGGGACCTGTGGACCTGTCACCCAGGAAACAGATGGCATCCTGCTAGTCAGATGCTCTCGCTCCATGGTTATCGGGTAGCTGGTCAGCAGGACATGGTCACAGCAGGGCCAGGGTCCTGGGCATTTGCTCTCAGAGGATGCGAGGGCACCCACCACACTGCTGCTCAGCACCTGGCTTGCCACTGGAATAGGTAAATCAGATCGATTGCTCCTCTGTGTATTTCTTCTTTTCAAGCTATTTGTACTTTGTCACCTTCAAAGACACACAATCAAACATGAGTGATTGCTGCAGCAGGTATTGACCATTTGTTTTTTAAACATTGAAGGTTTGGAGGAATCTGTGCAGGGCTTTGTAGTAAAGGGTTGAGAAGGACTACCACTCCCAGAGTCGTTTTCCTACCTACGGGCCTCTGAAGATCTCTGTGCCTGTGTTGAGGATTCAGCCTGCATTTGTACTCACCTGCATTTGTACTCGCTAATGATTTTCTTTAATGTTCCTAGAATAATGAAACCGCAGTTTAGATCATTTTTAAAATGTGTGTTTGGGGGCATGCCCTGTGTGTTGGAAACTGGGAAGGGGAGGAGTTCTAGGCTGTTTCTTCCCCATAATGGAACTTACTGGAGAGCTAAGGATAGGGATCTGAAAGTGCTTATTTGAAAGTAAGTTTCTAAAGGGAAATTGTGATGCAACCACCCTGTCACACATGCTGCTTTGAGGATGTGTACCTGGGAAACCTGGTATGTGGAAACTGTATGCCTCTGTATTATAGTAAGAAAACTAAAGTGTGCCCACGGGTGAAGACACATAATCACCCCAAAGCAAATCGGGAAGCCCCAGCAGTCCTAGGCTACCTGCGGCTCCACACTGCAGCGGGAGACCTCCATCACATATTCCCGATTTCCTTGGCTGGTTTCCTACCAACTGGAAATGGCTCAACGGCTTCAAACCTCACATCCTTCCAGGAGAGCAGGAAGAGGAGGGAAGACAGAGGGACCTCCACCCACCTCTGACCCCTCTCCCTTCTCGTGGAACTCCCCCGGAGCGGCCGACAATTCTCTCATGGATCATTGACAGAATCAGGTGCATAGACTCCCCCAGACAAAGCACGGCAGACACCATCACAATTATCCCAAAAGGTGAGACCAAATGCAATTCATATTTTCAGCTTAGGGACAGTGGTATCTTTGGGCACCTGACTAATGTTAGGGTGCTGTTTGCATGGGAAAATGAAATAAGTACTACATAAGTGACCTTTGTTATTTCATTACAATGTTGCCATATGGCCCCAACCTCATTAGTGGGAGTTCTAGAGTCTCCCTCTTGCCTCTTCCTCCTACATCAAATCAACAACTTTGGTTAATAGAGTCCAAAAGGAATCCGTTTCCCTTTAAATGCTAAGAAGGAAAGAAAGGGCCTCCCATCAGTCTCCTGCTGCCATTGCTCCATGCTGACCCCCAGTGTCACTGACCAAGTGTGGCCCATGTAGATCTGCAGCTGCAATGCTCTGTGGCTGCAGGACCCCTGCTGGGCATGAGGTTAGACTGCTTTGTGTTCATGTCTAGATATTGCTTGAGCTAGGCACCACCTGGTCCTCCGCACCAGCCAAGGGAAAGTAACTTCCCTGTTGCCTGGGGTTGAGCTCAGTTGTCATCCTTGACCTAATCTTTTTACAGATTCCTTTATTTTATGAAATTAATTGTCCTTGCCTCTTCCTTGACCTTGGCCTTCTGGTCCTTCTTTATCTGTCTGCTCTGAACTCCAAATCTGAAGGGTCAGGACCCAGGGGATCCACTTTCCCTTCCAGGGGGCATTAGATCCATTTTACAAAATAATGACCTCTTTCCAGCAGCCATCTTGTACATGGTGGAGGAACAGGTAAGGCCTCTTGCTAATCCAGTAGAATACAGTACTGTCTTTATAGGAACCTTCTTTTTTTTTTTTTTTTTGTAGCCTTCTCCACAGCAACTGGCTGATAGCAGGAGCCCAGAGTTTTAAATGAATGGATGGTTATCACCATCAGGTCTTGTTGTTTGACACTTTTGAGGCAATGAACATTTATATAATCAAAAGAGAAAATCTAAAAGAAGTTTTCCTTGGACAAAAAGGTGCCCTCAGGTTGGTTATCTCTCCACATGACCAAAATGTATCAGACAGCTTTCTGTTACTGCAACAACTACCTGAGACAATCAACTTGTAAAGAAAAAAAGGTTTATTTTTGTTCAGTTTTAGAGGCTTCAGCTCATGATCAACAGACCCCACTGTCTTTGGAAATGTGGTGAGGAGGGACACCACGAAGGCAGAAAAACTAATCCCCTCATGGCCATGGAGCAAGAGAGGAGGAAGAGCAGGCAAAGTCCAATACCCACTTCTGGTATGTGTCCCTAACAATCTAGGACCTCCTGCTAGACCCCATATCCCAAAGTTTATACCATCTCCCTATAGCACCAAGACTATGGACTATGGCTGTGACACAGGGGTCTCTGTGGGTCATTTAAGATCCAAATGATGGCAAAGAATGGGCCTGGAGCAGTTTTAAAAATGCCCCTCACAGGTGTCACCTCTTACCTTAGTCTTAGCCACCCCGTTACACACCAAGGGGCCTCTGAACAGTGAGGCTCTGCTCCCTCGAGTCAGACCTCCAGGGTCTCCCCAGCCGAGCCGTCTCCTCTCGGAAGCTCAGGTGTCCTGGCCAGAGTGGGGGAGGCAGTACCTGAGTCCGGCTGCTCTTAGGGACTGTCACTGTAGGGACCAGGCCTTCCCTTCTCCAGAATGTGGGGACCCCCCTGCATCCTGCAAGCGGCTGTTCGCTTCTTCGGACCCCATTCCCACCATTCCTGCATGGCCCGTTTTGCCAATGCTTTACGTTACAGCTGAGCAGTCTCCTTCCGAGGTCTTCCTCCTCCCCATCAGCAGTTGTGATCACGTGTGCAGTGCAGTGTCAGGGAGAGCACCTTCGACAACACCTAACTCCACATCGCTCCGTGGCTTCTGAAAATTCAGCTATTTTGGTGGCTCCTGTTCAGATGAAAATACGATGGTCCCTCTGATCCAGGGCTCCACACTCATTGAGTCTACCAACCAGGAATTGAAAATGTTTGGGGAAAAGAATCCATTCTAAATACCGCAGACTTTATTTTTCTTGTCATTTTTTCCTAAAGTCCAGTGATCACTGACAGGGCATTTACATTGAATTAGGTATGTGTGTGGTTGTGTGTGTGTGTGTGTGTGTGTGTGTGTGTGTGTGTGTGCATGCAT